ACCACATACGCGCTCATTACGCCACTACGATTCTGATCTTTGGGTCAAGGAGGGCAATAGTGGAAGTGGTTATCTTGCCCTTCATGTGTATGACGGCCCCCAACTTGATAAACGCTCTAAAACACAAAGTGCGGTTCTATCCGACTATCAGTAAGCCCTTATCACTTCGATATAAATGTTGTATATCACGGAACTTGGTTCATTTTATCCGACCTGTAGCAGTACTGTTGTGCGCAGTATTCACCACCAACTAACCATTCTTCAGTAAGCCACTGGTTTGTTCAAAAGCAGGATTTCGTTTAGCATTATTTGCTACTGTTATTGCAGATCTACTCACTGACACCAACACTAACAACTCACTAACTACTAACACCTACTCACATACTAGCTAATGGGCAATCGATTTGGAGCAGTTCCACGAAAGCGAGAAAAACCGGAGCATGCGGCGTTGAAAGTATCGATGAAACGGGTCAAAGGGCTAGAGCACGTCAACAAGATGCCAAATAGTGAGAGTATCGGCTAACAGAAAGGTTTCAAGTTCCAAAAAACTGTTCACTTTCAGTTATACCTCGTCGTGGTTGCCTTCTACGTCTTCTGAAGCAGAATCGAGTACATGACTACCTGCTTCTTGAGATGGAGTTCATCAAACGACAAAATCAGTTCAAATCTTTGGAAAGCCAGAAGAAAGAGGAGCGGAAAGTCGTTCAGGTGAGCGATAATTCGAGAATGACAATCACCTGGATGCAACCGGGTTACAGAAAATCATCCATACGGGGTCAACACTGGGGGAGGCTGTCAATAAATGGATTGCTCAAACGCAAATAAATGAAACTCTTAGTACATGTAGATCAAAATGGAGAATGTCTAGGCGATTGGGGAATCGAAATCAGTTTAAGGTTGTGAAAAGGTGACCGTCCGGTTGCATGCGCCTCGTATAGTTTCTTCACTTTCGTTCATCTGAGAAAACCTTTTCATGAGCTGTTCCAACTCCCGTTCTCGGTCCCCATGATTTGCCGTGGCCATTAAGTCCCTCTCTGTACTTCTATCACTTTTCCTTGTCGCATTGGCTGCTTTCATAGTCCACGACCGGTCGCGCGACTGGTCGCTCGCCAAATCGTGGACTGTGAAAGGCACCATTGGAGGGAACGGTGGTAGGGTTGTGGAGACCTCATGGTAATAGCATATACATCGAGAAAAAGTTTAATCCAGTAAGGATCCGAATTCTCGCTGCTGTGATCCCACTGCTTTACGTTTCTTTCGGTTGTAAATGCGAACCATCAATAGCCTGAAGCAATAGTGGGTTCGGTAGGATTTTGGATAAACAGTATCATAGCTCAGCCCTGCTCACCCAGACTTTACTGAAGTCTGTCTTCGAGTTGGTTGAGGAGGCAAACAGTCAGGCTCTCAGTTGAGACCCTGCTAATAAATAGTACTGAACAAGTAATCAACTCGAATTGAGTCAGCTCTAGCAGAGATCTTACAGCAACTCCGAGGGACACCGACAACTCTGGCAAAGGTGCACGAACTGTTCAATGATGAACAGGTAATGCCCCTCAAAACTACTTTGGACGTTCTCCTCGAGTAATGTGGCATGCTGTAGCATGCTGTTGTCGTCGTCGAAGGCTCAAAACGTGAATGGTTCATACCCATACTCTCGATTGTTGATAAGGTGAACCTATCAGATTTACATGACATATTGTCCTTCATAATTACTGGCCATTTAAGGATCTGCTGCACCTGAATGCATTGGTAATGGTGAAAGCCAGTGGAATGTTCAAGAATGTACCGACAGCAATCGTTGGCGTGTTGCCTGATACCACAGACTCATGCGCGCTGGGGCATAAGCTTGACAAGCCACCCAAGGAAACATTCGAGGTGTGGTGGCAGCTGTTCATACGCCCTCTCTTACTCTTTAGTGCAACCTACCAGAATTAGCTTTATCAACAATATTTAGGATATCGGCGGCCTGGAAGGGCCCATTCAAGAAATCAAAGAGTCTGTTGAACTTCCTCTGACCCATCCGGAATATTACGAAGAGATGGGGATTACCGCTCCCAAGGGGGTGATTCTCTACGGAGAACCGGGAACTGGTAAGTGGATGAATGTGCCTATTAAGCCTCAAGAAGTACCCTTCTCATGGAAGATGTAAATGAAAGTCGTTCTTCAGGGAAGACATTGCTGGCGAAAGCTGTAGCGAATTCCACCTCTGCAACCTTTATTCGAGCTACCGGGGCAGATCTTGTACAGAAAAACTCAGGAGATGGTGCGAAACTGGTAAGGTAAGGTTGTGAGAATGATAATGCGGCTTGGGGAAGGACGATGGAATGAAAAGCAATGCGTAGAATTTACCGCTAACCGTTAGCGGCGAAGGACTTGATTAGTCGTACGCGACGGGAGTAGAATAAATCAGTTTTGGTCCGCACCTGATCCGAAATCCTACTGCTTTTGAAAATTCACTCTTCAGGGGTTCTTTTCGTTCAGGGAACTGTTCAAAATGGCAAAAGAGAGTGCTCCAACCATCGTGTTTTTGGACGAGATCGATGCTGTTGGAACTAAGCGTTTCGACACTTCCAGTAGAGGCGAGCAAGAGGTGAGTCTGCTTAGTTTCATATATTCCCTAAATTTCATGAGCGATGAAAATGATAGTGAGACTGCGCCTGTGTTTATGCCTCCGAGGAATTGTATGCTGTGGGAGGAGTAATTAGNACTGTTCAAAATGGCAAAAGAGAGTGCTCCAACCATCGTGTTTTTGGACGAGATCGATGCTGTTGGAACTAAGCGTTTCGATACTTCCAGTAGAGGCGAGCAAGAGGTGAGTCTGCTTAGTTTCATATTCCCTAAATTTCATGAGCGATGGAAATGATAGTGAGACTGCGCCTGTGTTTATGCCTCCGAGGAATTGTATGCTGTGGGAGGAGTAATTAGGGGAGGAGCTGCGTTAGCACGCCTCCTCAGAAGGTACGTGTATTCATGCGATTGGGACTACGCGCGCATGTTGTGCTTGAATTCGTGGCGATTTGAACACTCTGGCGCCTATTATTGGGGCACAAACTTGGAGTAGAGTGGATTACTATGGTCGGTTCGAATCGCACGAATGTACCGTCCCCTCTCCTCAGATGGCAGAACGACGTTGCTATCATCGACGGCAATATTGATCACTAAGAGGTAGCTAACAGGGGGAACGTCCGTCGAAAGTAGCCCACCCATTTCGCGCGCAGCACCCCACTCAGGCTTTAAGATGACATTACACTACCACCAAGTGCCAGTGGAGCAAACAATTTGCATTGTCCTTGTTATACTCTCCTTGGCTGTCTGCCGTGGACCAAGCGCAATTCGTATGCCCCACTGACAACTGCGACGTCTGTCAAGTACCGCGGACTGACCCGCCGCATGCGACGGCTACGGCGTGACCTAGTTTTGACGGACGCGCGCAATGAAGCGCACCCAGCCAACAGTATCTCGTATCGCCTAATTGCGCAGGTACAACGAACTCTTCTGGAACTGCTTAATCAGTTGGATGGTTTCGAAAGCAGAGGAGATGTAAAAGTAAGGGAATTATGCATCTCGTTCAAATTAGCCTATTATCGATAGGTCCGTGTAGGTCATCCTGGCAACAAATCGTATTGATTCGCTGGACTCTGCTCTTCTTCGACCAGGACGTATTGATCGAAAAATCGAATTGCCAAAACCGGACGAGAAAACAAGGCAGAAGATCTTTCAGGTCTAGCCTTTCCCATTATGTAGCAATGTTTTTACCCTTTATCGATTTTCCGCGCTGCAAAATTCGATTCTTGCCTTTCGGCTGTAACAACGAGAATTACGAATCACCCTTCAGATACATACATCTGGTATGAACTTGGCCAAAGACGTGACGTATGATGTAGTAATGACGCAAGAAGGAGGGAAAACGATGTCCGGGGCTGAAATCAAGGTTCGTAGCTGAGGACTAAAGTCAACCATTGCCCTCCTCTAGGCAATTTATTCTAGGCGGTTTGTACTGAAGCCGGTATGTTGGCGTTACGTGCTCAGCGGAAAGTGGTATGTGCTGCCGACTTCGAGAAGGCCGTGAAAAATGTGATGCTCAAGAACAAAGGCGGTGCTCCTGATGAGATCTATGGTTGAAACTGCTAACTAATGTCCAAATAATATCGATTGATGGCAAAAAATATCATTCCGCAAGATACGTACACTTTGACCAAACGATAACTGACAATGAATTTTTGAATGTGTTGCTGAAGCGCATTTTAGTAGGGGATATTAACAATAGGGCTGAGGCGGTGTTCGAAGTAATTATTAGTGAAAGGGGGTCAAAGCAGAGGCTACGGTAGGAAATGACTACGATAACCATGTTAGGCATGCAAGAAGTTGCAAAATCCCTTATAGTCAGACCTTAAAGTAACACACGTGATGCTTCCGTTATCAAAGCAGTCTCGGATACGGTGATAACAAGTTTTTGTGGCCCTCCCGGCTGGCAGCACTGCCCCCGAAAATGGAAAGTGCGCGTGGGTCGTTATGTTTGTTTGGGAAAATATTCTGATGAGTATCCGATGCAGAAATTTCTTATTTTTCAAGTCATCCTATAGAAAATGCATTACTTAATGCATACAGTAAGCTACCAAAAAACCAGATATCTCAGTTGATCGAAACCATCTATTTTACTGCCTACTACTGATTTCAACCATTTCATAAACGGGAAAAAGGGAGGGGATATTTGTTTCCACAAAGTATGCTGTCATGCTACAGAAAGAATGTGTTGGCGCTGTGTCTGCAACTTCTTGCAGCTCTTTCTCGCGCGTTGATTACAATGAGATGAACAAAGTATGGTACTCTCCATCTTATTCTACGAAACGATCCCTACAGAAGTCGAACATTAAATCTTTTATTCAAACAATCTTTGCGAAAACGTACATAGGTTAATTATCCATTGGCAAAAATCAAATCAGTAGCAAATGGTTTGTACTGATAAAAGGACGGAGTCTGGTACCTCCTATGAATTATTTTATATACAGCCCGTCACAACATTGCTCCTGATCATCTCCTTCGGTTAAGTTTCTTCGACGTCCCGCTAAAAATTAAAAAAAAAAAATTGGTAAATAATGAAGGTGCTGAGAGGCAGTGGTCAAGCTAAGCGAGCGTGTTGGTCCCAAAAAGGTCGATCCCTTTCAATAAAAGCAGAGAGTTGTTAGCCAATAAAAAGTGCGGTGTAACCTGGAATTAGGCGGTGCGCTTAGCGTTTCCACTGTCTCGAAACCTCTTACTTGCAGTCTGTTAAAGACACTGTTCAAAATCAAAATTGTTTCTGAGTTCTCCCCCTTGAAAAACGCAGTGGCCCCCAAGGATAACAGGAAGGATGCTGTCAGGTCCCAAAACTTAATGCTGGGGCATAGTCGAAAATGGTCCATCCTACGAAACGTACCAGCCGACTGCTTTCGACTTATAAGAGAAGTCATGTCGTTGCGGCAGAAGATCGTCGCAACGAGACAGACCATCCACTTTCTGCGTCGCTGTCTCCGTGCTAACATCATCCCGAATTTCATCAAGAACAAACGACTGCACGAGATCTGCGGACGACCGAAAGACGCTCGACACGTAAAAACGATCGAGCAACAGCTTCTCAAGATGGCAATTCGATCAAAGCGTGATGTTATGTATTCATGTTTGAACAAATGCATTGTTAAAGAGAAATGTTGCGAACGGATCGTGCCGGAGCGCCTTTGGACGAGATTAGTGGGTGAGTCGGAAAACATTTGTGATTTGATCCGATCTAGGGCAAAGACAAGACTAAAAAACAAGTTCGATAGGTTAGTAGATCAACAACGGCTCGTGACATGCAAGCAATTTCTAACGTTCATCAAAACAACGAGGCCCACCTATTTTCTAGTACAGTAGAGCACCTATCCAATTGTCGNTCACTCTTTCCAAAGAAGCGTTGTCACTGTTGGAATTTGGTCCTAGCTTTGCATCAGCTCAATCCATGACCCCTCAGGTCGTGCGCAAGGTCGTGGGTAACCTACAGATCCTTCAGGATCGCCTCAGAGGCAGGGCCAACAGCATAGAGCGGGAGGGAGGCGCGGGAAATCAGGCAGATAGGGTGGTCCCTGTTCTACCCTTTCCTTGTACCTTTCCCAGGCCCCAAGAACCGCACGTTGTTGTAGACTCTTAATTCCGCTTTCTCGCTGAACCTGTTTACAGAGTGGTACGGCAGTACGTAAACAAACGTGCTGCGTTCAACCCAACCCCCTCACAGATGCAGGGCTTCAAGGAATTACGTAATCGATTAGAAGCTGGGGAGATCGTTTGTCTGTGAGCGACAAAGGAGAGAATTCGTGGTTATCCCACAAGAGTTCGATAAGGTAATAACGCAATTACATCTTCAGGACAAGACATTGTATTGCAGATCTACTGAAAAAGAATACACTAGACAGTATAGAAAACTGAACAAAGTCTGGTGCTGCGTGGCGAAGGTCGCTGGACTGCCAAGCTCCACGATCAATCGCCTGAAGAGTGATCTGCCGCTGTGCCCTGTTTTGTACACTCTTATCAAGACGCATGAGACCATCTTTGCAGGCCTGAGCTCGAACGACCCTTCATTGTTCAATATAAGACCCATTATCAGCAATGTCGGGTGATCCACAGATAAAATTTCTTGGTTTCTCAATGTAATTCTGCAACAAACCCTACAGTACGAACCCGCCCACCTTACCAACACAAACATGTTACTCGAAAAACTGTTAAATGCAGATCTTCGAGGAGATGTGGTAGTGGAACCATTCGAGGTTACGTCTCTCTACGCGAATGTGTCGAATGAGGCCGGCTTAGAGGCCACATACGAATTGCTAAAGGATCACTAATGCACTCTTAGATTATACGGTTTCTCGGTCTCCCAGATAGTGACTGTCTTGAAAGAGTGCTTAAACTGCTCGTTTTCAGGTGGTCGGGCGTTCACTATAAACAGATTAGGGGTTTGGCTATGGGCCAGCGGCTAGCGCCAGTATTGGCAACAGCCTACATCTCAAAAGTTGAGGAACCTATCATAGACCGCAGGCCAGTTCTCTACACTCGCTATATTGATCATTGCTTATCATATGTTACACTCAAGAACAGATGCACATATGTTTTGGCATTCTCAATAAACAGGCAGATCAGATCAAATTCACACGAGAAAGACCAACAGAGAACTGGTTACCGTTCCTCGATATCCAAGTCCAACTATCGAGGGGGACAGTACGGACCAAGTGGTACCGCAAGCCTAGTTGTAAGAATATCCATATTCACTGCCACTCGGCCCACCCCATTAGAACAAAACAGTCTGTCATCAGAAATATGTTCAGAGTTGCCAGCAGGGTTTCCTCTGGTACTGATCTTATGACAGAAACGTTGGACATAGCTCGAAAAG